ATGCAGATCCATCCGCCTGCCGCTTTATGGCTCCTCGGAGATGCGGAAAGAAGGAAAGAGCAAACAAAACAAAATTCGATGGGAAAGCGAAAAAGAAAAGTGCAATATCGCGAGAGTGCAATTTGAATGATTCATGCGTTTGGCGAGAGGGGGTGAAAAGTGAATCTGTAGAAGATGCTGTATAGTTTGTTTTTAAAATTATTGATTATTAAATAAAGAATTTACAGAACGAGTTTATTTTAAAATTTTAACTGTATTTTTATTTGCATTGTGTTTATTTGTAGATTTTTTTAAAAATACTTTTAAATTTAATGATGCATGCAAAGTATATAACTTTCACTCTCTCATTTACATAAATTTGGTATAAAATTGGTACAAACTAATAAATACTGTGAAATGGCTTTCTTATCTTAATAGTAATGATTAATATTGCATATCACTGATGGGATACCATTCCTAGTTATTTTGATTGAAGTTGAGTAATTTATTTGTATATTCTAATAAATAATATCTCTTTCACTTATACAATTCATATTATAACGAATCTGTGGAATTTTGGCAAACTTGACCCTTATCTTTTACATGGATTTTTATGCTCATATGCAACCACCGAAATTCCTCAAATATATCATACATTTAACAATATTTATTAATTTCCCAACATTACCTAAAAAGCCATATTAAATCTCCAAACTTTGGCATACAACCCTCTCATTAAATAAATCTCACCCAAATTAACCTCGTTGGAAAGACATCTCAGGTCGTGATTCGAAATGCACCCGCGGGGGCTGAAAAAATGGGGCGTGAGAACCTCTTCTGCTCGCGCCGTGTAATTCACTTGGGCTTTGCTCGAGAGTGGCGACTGATGATGCCCACGAGGGAGGCCATTATCATTAGAGCAAAGCTCATTAAGGGTGTCCAGCGGCTTCGGCGGCGGCCGCCGCCGAGCCTGGCTGGCTCTTGATGAATGGAGGGCGCCACACCCTCTCTCTCTTTCTCTCTCTGGCTCGGTGCACCCTTTAAGTCCATTTGTCAAAATAAGACAGCCGACACTTCCCCGCCGAACCGAATTTGCATATCTGGGCCCATTTTACGGCACGCTGCGTCAGGCCACCCCTCGAAACTGAGAACACTGATCTCTGCGCGACTTCCTCCGAATTTCCATCGAGGAAGAGCCGCGTGGCGTCTGCCAGGCAACAATAATGTAAAAAATCCCAGCCTAACGACGCGAGTTGTCATCAGCCAACAAAAAGAATTCATTCCAAAAAACTCATCATTCGGGGGGTGAGATTTTGATGCCGCCTGAGCGTAAGGGGGTTGTCATCAGATTTGAAATGCGAAAAAAAATAATTGGAATTATAAAAATTTCACCACAGACAAAGTACGAATTTATTTCGCACCCTCTCGGATCGAGTATTTAATTCATGGAGTGGACGAGAGGCCGTTGTCATTGTTGAGAGCCGCAACACCCCGGGGAGGAGTGAATTTCAATTGAGCTGCGTGCGAATGCAACTTTCATGAGAAGTGCAAGTTCAGCCCGAAGACAGGCGGCAAAATTATTGCACCACTCGGTCGAGGGAAATTCCAATCTCTCCGGAGAGAAAATAGAAAGCAGCAGCAGCGAGTCATTTCAATAATGCATGCAGAGGGTTGACACAGCGAGTTGCTGCAGATTATCATTCTTGGCGGCTCTGCTCGCAGGGTGTGGTTGTTATATACGCGACAAGCGAGAGATGTTTGGCAAAAAAGGAGGAAAAGGAAAAAGAGAGATGTTTTCAAGTTGTTGGCTTAGTGGGGGGCCTTGAGGAAAAAAATATAACGCGACAGTCTGAGATCAAATTTTGCCCAAAATATTAAGCAAATTTTTAGAATTCATTTAGCAATTAAAAATAAATAAATAATATTCTGCTTTTCAAATTTTATTAATATAAAATACAAAAAAAATTTCATTTTGTAAATTTAATTGTTTATATATCACATGCTTAAAGAAGGAAAGGAGAAAATGAAATTGCTTTTGTCACCGGCTGGCCCGGGCGAGCCCTTTAATTTCGCGTGTGACGCACTTGGGTGCTCGAAGGCGTCCATAAATCGTCGAATTTATCAGAGAGTTGAAGGCAGGGATCACGGAAGATCTATCTGGCGGGCGCACGCCGGAGCGAAATCGCTCTCGTTGGATTGTCGTCCAATAAGGGAGAGAAAGGGTGGTGCGCGATAAAAAATGGTGTCCGAATGCAGGTGGCGTGTTTTATTTTGGGGATTTTTGTGGTTGGCTGGTGAGTGTCTCTGCGTTATCTGTGCCACAGCACCGCCGCCGCCGTTGGAATACATGAATAAGTAAAACGCCTGCTACACAAATATATCAGCCGGGGTGGAAGGACTGCTGCATTGCTGAACCGATTTGTAATACGCCAAAAAAGCCGCAACCACCCTTCGTTGGTGGTGCCGCCGCCGCCGCCACCGAATATAATTTTTCTCTTGTTGACACAACAGCAGCCAGCCATGCAGCATCGGAAAAAATAATCCTCGGATGAATAATATGCACGCCGGGCACGATTCCATCACTCAAACGGCGTCGTGCGAAAAAAAAACGCCTCAAATAATGGCCCGTTTGTCGCTCCGCTCTTTGCATTCGCCAAATCGAACCCATTCACAAAACGGCTCATCCAATTTTCCCTTTGAATAAAAAGAGGAGAGAGCAAAAGGGTTAAATTAAATTTTGATAATGGACTAAAAAATAAATAACATTTTATTAATTATCTTACAAAATATTTCCTTTAATGAGAATTGTAGAATATAATTGATAAATTGAAACCTGATTTTTAATATTCAACGTCAAAAAAATTAATTAAACGAAAAAGATGAGATTTTAAAATATTTCTTAAATTCCTGAGAATTTTTTTTTTAATAATTCATGCTTTTGGTCTACATATTTTATGAAAATTAATAGAGTCAATAGATTATTGCAAGTTTCACTCGTAATTCGAAATTAATTTGGTCGTTTTTTATACCACTCCGGAATAACTTTGTTGTCAGCTAATAAAAGCCAGCAACCGACGAAGAAGTTCTTACTCGGGCAATAAAGTTCTTGAGCTGCCATTTCTGTTATTGACTCTCTAGCTCGCGTCTGCCATAAGCTTCTCCCAGATTCAATTGAATCGACGCCGAACACCAACTTTTGCCGCTGCGCTTTATTGTTTTGACCTGGCTGCTGCGTTTGAATTTATGCGAGGGGAGCGCAAAAAGAAGCGTCTCGTTTTTTTCTGTAAATTTAAAATTTGGCCAGAGACGCCCTCGCAGCCGTTGGAAAAAAAAGCAAAAGAAAGGGGGAACAGCCGATTTTCTATTTGCGCCGTCTCCTAACTGTCAATTTATTCCGAGAACACGCACTTTTTGCGCCGTTTGCCTTCTTCCGGGCTACGCAAGTTGTTCTGTTTGTTGTTCGGTGCTGGTTCCATCACACTTTGCATAATGATATGGCTCACAATAAAATTATGTTGTGTGTTCGCGCGGCGGCTCGTGGAAACGACACTGCGCGCCATTCGCTCTCGACCTCAAAGAACCTGTTGTGTGCGCCCGCGAGAGAGAGAACGGGAAAAAACTCCAAAGGGAGCCATCCAAATCTGGCAGTGTGCGCGTTTCAATTTCGTTTTACGACCTGAATTTTGATTTCTCTCGCGGAGCTGCGAGCGTTAAGGGACTTGCGAGCTTTTGCACTCCCTTACAAACGACGAACGTCGGCAACGAGAGAGAGAAAGCGGACATGCAAATTGTCCTGCAGCGAGGGAGATAAGAGAATCAAATCGCTCTGGAAAAAACACAACAAGAGGGAAAAAGGCTAAAAATACATTGCTCCCGTTAGCTTCAAGAAAAAAAATAATTATAATAAAAAAATTCATAGAAATACAAAATCAGCAAGATTTAATTATAAATTTAAGTAGACAAATTTATATATTTGATTGAAAGAATATTATTATTATTAAATTTTTTTTAATATAATTTTATAATATTTTGTTATATTTTTTATTCAATTATATTTTTTTTAAATATTAATTATTTTTAAGTAATATGATTTTATAGTGCTTTAGGCCTTATATTTTTTTACATGCACACACAAAAAATTATAAAAAAATAATAAATTTTGGTATTACATTTGATGACAATGGATCAATAATAAATATATTATACTCCTTCGCTGAAATGCCATTTGATGTAAATAATAAATATCATTTTACTTACATTTAATAAGATATAATAAAATTTATAATAATTAATGATAAATGAGCATGAAATTCAAATGGAATAATTATAGCTGTTGATTTGTCAGTGAGTTTTGCATTAACTTAAATAAAAATTAAACGATTTTTATAGGCACTCAAAAGCTAGCAATGTGCAATACAACTAGCCCTCTGCAGAGTTAGCTAAACCTATGCACCCTGTAATTAGCCCCCTCGCTTTAATCCCGTTCCCACAACCCCCGGAACGCCTCCGTTTCTCTTCGGCACGAGCCGCGAGTGCCACGCCCCGTTCGGGACAAAAGCCCCCTCGTTTTGAAAAATTCACACGGCCCTTCTTCGCATCGATCCGGTCGCTGCGAAAATCCTGCAAAAATGCTGTACGCGCGCGTGTAATTAGAGAGAGGCCTGGGTGACCCTTGGGGTGAGCGGCAAACAAGCGGCAGCACCACCATGGACGAGCTACCGAGGGTGTCACTCAAGTGAGGCGGTAATGAGCATTGTGCAAAATAAGCAGCCGGGCTGCTGCAAACAAACAGGAGCCCATTGTTCTGCGTGGATTATTATTATATTTTCTCTCTCTCTCTTACTCTCTCTCTCTCTCTCGTGTGTCTTGTATTACCATCCCCATTGTTTGCACATCCGAACAACAACGGCGAATGCGAACACACAACAACAACAACACCGGGCTTACATTTGCTTTAGTAGTGTGTACAGAAGTTTGCGCTCGAGAGGTACTCATTTTTGCAATTTGTCTGTCTGTTGCAGCACCCGTACCCTTCGGAGGATCAGAAAAAGCAGTTGGCACAAGATACTGGCCTGACAATACTTCAAGTCAACAACTGGTGAGTAGTCCACTTGAGCAATTCTCTCATTGTTTTCGGCCCCTGTCTAAGTTAAGGAGAACAATATCGCCGCTTTTACGACCGATTTCCTCCCTCTCGAGAAGCGGCGTCGCCACTCGACACCAAAAGAGAAAGAAATAAATAAAGGGGTTCCCACTTGACGCCTCTCTCTTACCATATTTGATTTTATTAATATCATCTTCAAGGAATTCATTTGCAGAATTTTTTTTATAAATATAAATATTTTCAGAGGTATGAAATCTTGTGTAATGATTGCATTTTGAAAGAGAGCGAACGTGCCAGAAACAATTTGTTCCTGTGCCAAGATGGATATATTCGCGCATAAACACGGGAATAATAACTCTTTTATCTCTCTCCGCTGAACCCTCTGATCCCGGCGCATGGCGACACTTGCTCTGGAATTTAACTTTTTGGCTCTCAACGAGTGTACGTACGAAGAGCGGCCCACGTCGCGCCGCGCGTTTCGTCAGCGCAATTTAACCGCCGCCGGGCATAATTCAGTCAATTAAAGTCGTTTTAGCAGATGGCGTGCAAAAAACAAATCGTAAATGTCGCGGCCCACTTCAAAAATCCACTCGCCGACTTTGCTCGGGTGGTCGCCGCCACCGCCGAGCACTAGTTACAAAATTAGGGATTAAAAATTGTTTTGGAATTTCTAATTTTAAATTTTGTTGAGACTAGTTGTCGGTTTATGCTTCATTTCATTATAGAAAATTTGAAAGTAGATCATGTATCAAGTTATTTAAATACAAAGAATAGATTAATTGTTGCAATGTTAATTTTTGTAAAAGTGGAATAGCCAAGATTATACTAAGAAAAAATTCTATGTTGCAAAAACAATTATTTTTTTATTATATATTTTTAAATAACCAGTATTAAAAATGTCAAGTTCTATTTTTATGAATCGATTTAAAATTTTGTCATATGAGTTAATGCCAGAAATTTAATTAGATCAAATTTTACCTTTTGCCTAAATTTATTTCATTCAGAGTTTGGAAAGAAATTCGATTATTTCGCTGCAATTGGCACTGCTGCTTTTTGATCAGAAACCTCGAGTACTAATTTGACAGCGCGTGACGGCGCCGATTAATCGATGAAAATAATCGGCGCGCGCTCGTGGCGCTGTGGCGGAATTTGGCCTGCGAAAATCCAGTGGCGCTCGCTCTTATTATTGGACGCACTGCAGCCGGGGCTCGTTTTTAATTGGATTTGCTGCTGTGTGTGAGAGAGAGAGAGAACAGTTCGCTCTCTCTCTTTCGCTCGCTCGGCGATAATGCAATAGTCGTGTTGTGTAAATCAAGTCCACTAATAATAACGCGTGACACGTGAAAAATATTCAAATTGACAACAGCAGCAGTACGAGTGATTTTTATTTGCAAAACGGCAGATTAAAGCCATAAATTGATTAGCGCGCGCGAGCTAGTGAGTGAGAGAGGCTGCGGCATGACTATTATCGTCATGCATATCCACCCCGTCGCTGCCGCCGGAATAACAAAGGGCGCCGCACACTCGCGCACGCAGAATATTGGCGACATTAAATTCGCGTGTGATCAGACGACAACAATGGCGACGTGTTTTCCATCACAATTCCCGCGCCCCTTTTTTGCATTGATTTTGCGCCAAAATTTTCGCGATGAATTCATTTTATTTAGCGCGGCCGGCGATGAAATAAAGCAATAACCTGCTTTTATGGCAGATTAAAATAATTCATATATATCTGCGGCAATAGATTGGATCACTTTTGGCTCGAATGGAATTTCAGCAGATCTTTTGTATTTATTGCCCGGCCGCTCTTTAGCCAGGGGTCGTTTATCAAACAGAATGCTCTGCTTTTGGGGGCGGTTGCCTAATCCGAATTTATTTTATTGCTCAAGTGAGTGTGTCTGGAAAATTTCCGGGTGAAAGGCTTGAAAAAGTTGGCCAAGAGAATTGAGCTACTTATTTAGTTCATTAATCACTCTTAAACCTAAAAATTGCATTAGCTTAATTTATTAACTCAATATTCCTTTCAATAATAATCTCACAATCTGATATTTTTTTTTAATTAGAAAAACAAAATTTAAATAATCTTGTGGGTTGTTTAATCAATGATTATATTTTTTCCCAATTGAAAGAAATTTAAAATTTTGTTTTTTCGTGTTGTTAAAAAATAATTCCTGCTCCGTTTGCAGTTAATTTAAATTTCCGAGAAGCGGCCATTCCAAGACAGACTCTGTTGTAAAATTGCAAAAACTTTAGCACATTGTCAGCTTTAAAAGTTTTTGCCTCTACACTTCGCGCAGTTGTGAAAAATGGCCGGACGCGCGCTTGTATAATCTGCCAAAAAAGAGGGTGGGCGAGCGAGAGACAATTGGCAAAAATGTGCGCAAGTCTGAGCGAGCAGGAGCCTGCGTGTATGTAATGGCGATGTCGGAGAGTAATTTTAATTTGTGTTTACTCCTCATTGTCGGCAGGCACCATCTGTTGCCAATGAAATCGCAGGCTAAAAAATGAGCGCGCGCAGCACTGGCTGCTTTCGCACACACGACATTGATCCGCAGGGAGAAAATTAGAGGGAAAATTTTAGCTGCTAGGGTGTGTTTAATTCCCCTCTAATGGTGCACTCGGGGCTTTAATATTATTCTCGGCAGCGGAGCGAGCGAGCGAGCGAGAGCGAACCCGGCAGCTTTGGTAATAACAACAACAAGCCCTGCCTGCGTCCGCCAGCCTCGCTGTACAAATGGAAAACGGATTGATTAATCGAGTAATTACCGATCAGCTTGCTCGCTAATTAGATCTCGGAGCGGCTGAAATGGGATTCGGCGAAAGTGCGAAACAAAAGCAAACTGCTCCGCAGCACTGAACGATAATTATTCTTGGCGTGCCAAAAGCGAGAACCGGTTGGACTTTGATCATTTCAAAGGCCATTTCCAGGCTCAAGCTTCAAATAATCAACAATTAATTAAATAAAAATTTAGTTCCAAGCATTTTGAAATAATTTTGGATAAATATAATTTATATTTTACATCAAAGTTTGCATTTTAAAAGGTAAAAAATGCTAATTAGGCGCATACAAATTTCAGTCAAGATCAAAATTTAATTTGGTATTTTTTAATAAATTCAATCAAAGAATGCAATTAATTATTTACAGCTTATAATCAAAATGACTTGAGTTTTGGATAGATATAAGAATTTTTAATTTGAATTACAATCTTTATCATAATAAAAATAGAAATATAAAAATTTGAAAAAAGTCGGATTCCAAATTTTTAATCAGAAATGTAAATAAAACAACAAATATATTGACCAGATTGAGTGAATCCTGATATTATTTGCCAGTTCTGGGGAAAAACAAATGGGTCAATTACACATTTTGTGTTTTCGCAGTTGAAGGGCCATTTCGGGGGTGAACAATAACCTGGGTCAACCGGCTGCTGGGTGCCGAAGCGCGGAATAATAAAAAAGCAGCCCGGTCCGGACAGATGGATGGAATCATAAAGCAATAAAAAGGAATTGCACTGCACATTATGATTATGATTATATTCAATTTGAATCTTTTACGTCGGTTTTTACGACACCATTCGAAGGCCGTTCGTGTTGATGGCGCAGCAGCAGCAGCAGCAGGCCGCGCGCGGATTAGACCCTTTTGTGTGTTGTTGCCAACATGTCGAGATAAACATAAGCAATCAGGGCCATCTCACAGTGCTCGTCATGCATCCCTCAGCCCTTTAAACCCTCATTTAAGAATTGCTCCGGTCCTCACTGTGTCTCTCTTTGGCGATAATAGAGGAGCTGCCGGAAAAAAGCACCAGCAGGGGCGTTTTATTGTGCAGTTGAATTCAAGTAGCTGTAGCTCCGAGTTTTATGGCGCCATTCTGAGGTTTCGCCAATGCAGCCGGGGGGCGCCGAGTAAACAAAACTCAAGTGCTGGCAAATGGGATTTTTCTTGCCTTCCTTTTTCCCTTCTTGGCGACACGTTTAATTCCGGCAAAGGCGATTTGCATCCCAGGGAATGTAATTAAAATTTTCTTCCGAATCCACTCTTCTTCTGCCGTTCTTTCGTCGTCCCTTGCAGAAAAAGTGTTAATTACGCCGGCGTTTATAATTTATTAGCCTGCAGGGTGCGTGCACAGCTATTTCATCTGCTTTCTCTTCAGGGTGCATGTGCCGGGGACGAGGGGAGAATGCAATTTCCCCTGGGGGACGGAGGACAGTGTGGCGCAATAACATTAAGAAATAAGAAAAACAAACACCCAGCGGAGAGCTGGGCCGGCCGTTTTGTTTTGTATCAGAATGGATTGCCGGCGTGTGTGAGGAAAAAAGGCTTGATCCCTATTTACGGGCCGGCGAGACGTGCGCCAACAGATAGATGGCCCCATTACAATATCGCCGCCGCCGATGGTCATTTTTCGGAAATGAAAGAGCGCGGCGTGAGACTTTTTCATATTGCCCATTACCCGCGTCCCCGAGGAGCTTCTGACGCGGCGGCGGCGGCGCCAATTAAGCTAGGATTTTGCAAAATCCGTCCACACACGCCGACGGGCTTGGGGGATTTTCGCCGGCTCTCATTTGCTGCTCGCCGCCGCCCCAAAAGCGCATCTATATACGCATTTTTGCTTCGAGTGGTCGAAAGCTGCGGAAATGTTTCCGCACTTGTTCCTCTATACTGCTTTGAGAAAAAAAATTTACTAATATTTATTTTATCTATTAAAGTTTCAAATTCATTATTTTTATTGTTTAATTTAAAATATATTTTGTCAATTAATTTAACGATTTATTTTTTGTTTGATATTTGTTGAAAATTTATAATAACTTTTTAAAACGCTTTTAATGTCACAGTTTTGAATTAACATAACAATTTATGGTTATTTTTAGTGCTGTATAAATAGCCCATGTTTGAAGCTAAAAGTAATTATCTATAATTAAACATCTATTAGTGACAAGTGCATTTATTCAATTGATAATATAATTATTTGACAAACATGAAATATATACTATTT